TTCCCCACCACACTCGCCAGCCACCCTGGACACAGACCCGGGGAGCCAACCTCTCCTCCTTCATCCCCATTCCCCTCACCCCTGCCTCACAACCTGGAACCCCTCCCTCCCCACACACCTTTCTGTCAACCGCTCCCTCCACATCGGACTACAAAACGTCCGCTCCCTCTGCAACAAGGCCCTGGTCATCAACGATCTCATCCTTGATGGGATCATGGTCTTAACGGAAACCTGGCTTAACCCAAGTGACACCTTCCCCTTCATGGAGGCCACACCACCCGGCTACACCGCCCACCACATCCCTCGCCCCAACCACCGTAGCAGTGGTGTAGCCCTTATCTCAAGGACACCACTTGCCCTATCCCCCTACTCCTCTGGCTCTTTCCCTTCTTTCGAGCACCTCGCCCTCTCCCACCCCTCCTCTCTCTCACTCAAAATCCTCCTCCTCTACCGGTCCCCTAAAACCTCTCCCACCTTCATCTCCGATATTTCTACCCTACCAACATCTCTCTGCCTCTGCTCTGATCACCTCATCATCCTGGGCGACTTCAACCTGTGGATTTGTGGAGTCCTGTAGCTCAGTGGTTAGAGCACTCGCTTTGCAAGTGAGAGACCTGAGTTCAATTCCAGGCAGGGCGAAACCTTGGGCAAGTTTCCTTACTCCACACGCCTAATAATAATCCCTCCAAAAAAAAAAAAAACAATAATAAATTGGTCATATTCAATCTACAACTGTCTGTGGGACATTGCTGTGCGCAATTGGCTGCCGCGTTCACCCACAAATATACAGTCAATTCACTTTACAGTGTGTTCTGTGAAGCGCTTTGGGACGTCCTCCCGATGTGAAAAGCGCTATATCAAATGCAAGGATTATTATTATTATAACCTGCACTTCACCCCCTCCTGCTCCATCTCCTCGGACTTCTCCTCCCTGCTCTCCTCACTCAACCTCTCCCTTCACATCAACCCCGCCATTCGCAGTCACAGCCACCCACTCGATTTGGTGATCACCCGGGGCCTCATTATCTCAGATGTTACCGTTACTGACAAGGCCGTCTCCGATCACCACATCATCTCCTTCACCACCTCCACCCCCTCCCCACCTCCACCAAATCCACCACCGTATTCTACCGCCCCTGGAAGAAGTTACCCCCACAATCCCTAGCCGCTGCCTTGGACTCCTCTGAACTCCTCTCCCTCTGGCCTTCATCCCTCACTGACCCCTCTTCTGCTCTCACCCTCCTCCACAACACCCTCTCCTCCAAACTCGACATTCTTGTCCCGATCACCTCCCGTACTGTCTCCTACTCTCGTTCCTCCCCCTGGTTCACCATCCAACTCCGCTCACTGAAGAGCCAGGTGCGGGCCACTGAACGCACCTGCGTCAAATCTGGCCTAACGGTCCACCGACACATCTGACAGCCTGCCTGACTGACATCGAGTCCTGGACGAGAGACAACTTTCTTCAGCTCAACGTGCGCAAAACTAAGGCCCTCCTGATTGGCTCGCGTCAGCGCCTCCGCACCTCAGGCGCTGACAGCATCAACATCCAAGGCTGCACTCTCCACCTCTCAAAGCCGTCAGGAACCTCGACGTTCTGTTTGACCCTGAGCTGTCCTTTCTTCCTCATATCCGCGCCACAACTGGCACCGCATTCCATCACCTCCGGAATATCGCCAGACTACGGCACTACCTCACCCCTCACGCTGCTGAAACTGGTCCACGCCTTTATCACCTCAAGGCAGGACTATGGGAACTCTCTCCTCGCCGGCCTTCCCGGCACTTCCCTCCACAAGCTGCAGGTCATTCAGAACTCTGCAGCTCGTGTACTGTCCCGCACCAGGCTTCGGGACCACATCACTCCCACCCTCGCTCGCCTCCACTGGCTCCCCATTCCCGAGAATTCAAGATCCTCATCCTCACCTACAAGGCCATTCATGGCCTTGCTCCCTCCTACCTCTTCGACCTACTATCCCCCTACTTACCTGCCCGTACTCTCTGTTCCTCTGGCTCCGGTCTCCTCCACATCCCCCGCCCTAACCGCCCTACCATCGGTGACCGGGCCTTCAGCCTCTCAGCCCCCAGGCTCTGGAACTCCATCCCTCAGTGCCTTTGCCTTGCCTCCTCCCTTTCCTCCTTCAAGGATCCCAATCCCAGGATCTTGTATGCTAATGCTGCTCCCCAAATACCGGAATACTCTTCTATGAATTTCAGGATGGGGGCTGAGCCTGGGCGGAGGAGGAGGAGGATGAGCCTCCCCGCTTCACCAGAAGTGGATCATGTGCACGTGATCACTTCCGGGCAAACAGATGGCTCTTTAATCCTTTCAGGCTCCCTCCCCACAGAGGGACGCTCTCTCTGAGATACCCCAAACCCGAGACATTGGTACAGAGAACATTCATAGGCATCCTGAACAACGTCAAATTTGACATCTCAGGATCCCGGGATTTGGGGTATTAAAATCCCCAAATTCCAAGATTCTGAAAGAACCAGGATTACAACCCTACTCACATTCCCTTTATTGACAAAGACACTGGACCACTACTAATTGTGGAGCATAGAGGATGAGGGGCATGCAGAAGACCCGAGCCAGGTGAGGGAAAGAGTCGGATAGAAGAGTGGAGTGTAAGCAGATCAGAGAGATGGCGAGATGTCAGGGCATGAGGAGATTTGAAAGTGAGAGTAAGGATCTCAAAATTGATACATTCTGCAGCAAGAAGCCATTGGAGCCTGACAAGAACTGGGGTGATGGGGTTGCGGAGCCTTGTAACAAAAGCAACAATTACATTTGTAGAGCGCTTTTCACGCTGGGGGGGGGTGTCATCCCAAGGCGCTGGACAGTCAGGGATTTGGACCCGAGCAGGGGGTTGGGATCAGTGGGGTAGAGGGCAGGGAGGTAGGGATAGGAGGATGGTCAAAGGCTCAGTCAAAGAGGGAGGTTCTTGAGACATGCTTTGAAGGAGACAACAGAAGTGAACAAGACGAAGGGACTGTGGGATGGAGTTCCAAAGGCTGGAGGCAGAGAAGTCGACCTCCGATGGTGGGGCGGGCCAAGCGGGTTATGAGGAGCAGGCCGGAGCCTGCTGAGCGGAGGGAGTGGACAGGTTGATATGGGGTTAGTAGGCCACAAAGGAAGGAAGGAACAAGGTTGGGGAGGACCTTGAAGTCGAGGACTTTGCACTCTGTCTTCTGGGGACCAGTGGAGCCAGGCGAGAGTGGGAATAATAGCACCACCTTGTATGGTTGAGGACACAGGTGGAGTTTTAATACAGCTGTAAGGCTCTGAAATATAATTTATCAATTGAAGCAATTTAGCTCTTTAATTCATACATTAATCTTTGCATTTAAATCAATAACCGTAATATACCTATTTGATCACTTCACATAGAATTCATTATTCTTACTTTTCATGCAGTTTGAGTGGTAGGTCACCAAACTGTTAAACAAAACTGATAATCAGGAATAACATTTTTGTAAATACAATTCTGTTGTTGCAGTTGGATTGTTTGTTTCGTATTTTTCATCCTGTTGTACTCTATTCTGTTACTTTGCTAGAACTATAGTGTGTACTGATAAATAGAATAGAAATGTTTGGCGTAGAAAGATATATTCCATTCTATGACATAATTTAATATAAATTACAAGTAATCATAAGTTTGCCTGGATTTGATGAAAATGTATAAACTTTAGATTCATCAGTTTATGCCATGCCTCCAAATACATTTTCATAGATAAAAACAACTTTTTATGAAACCAGAAGCTAAATAATGGAGAAAAAATAAAATTGTGACTTGGAAATGACCTATAGTAATAATAATGTTGAGACAACTCAAAGCACTACGAGAATATATTGTAAAGTGATCTTGACTGCATATTTGTGGGCGAAATGTGGCAGCCAATTGCTCACAGTCGTAGGTTTTTTTTTGAGGGATTATTACCCCGGAAACCCAATCAACTAACAACTGAGTTCCTACTTATTGCTAGGTTAGCAGAAGCGTGTGGAGTAAGGAAACTTGCCTAAGGTTTTGCCCTGCCTGGGAATCAGACCTAGGTCCACTCGCTTGTGAGGCGAACGCCCTTGCACACCCTTGACCATAGAAGTACCTAAAAAGGTGAGGAGGAGTAGCCTAAAAATGTGAGCTTCGTCAAAATGATTCAACAAAGGATCCAAAATATACCTTTATAAGGGTAATACCCTTCAGTGCACTGCAGGTCTGCTTATAGCAAACTGAAGTATGGCACCCGTGCATCTCTGACTGGTGAGCTTCCTGTGCATGCGCAGGCACAGATGGTCTCCAGACATCAGTGGCATCCTCAGCAACTGTTGAGAATGGTCATGAGAGCAGTGCCTGCTGATTTGTCAGTTTTCTGCACAGAGTACATGCTCAGTGATGTCAACAAAAATTGTGACGAGCAGCTGCACTTACAGAGCGACACATTAAAAATGTGAGGTCCCACTGAATGGCCCCAAACTATCACCTTATAATGGGGTCTGACTGTAGTGTGTGCTTCCTTTTATCTGTTATGTTAAGTCCATTCATCACCTTATGTAAATTAGCAGCCATTTTACTTTTTCAGATGATACACCTTCTCAACTGCACAATATTTCCTTCTCTAATAGCTATTCAATTGAACACAAATGACTCCATTGCAATTTAATGCCAACAGATCAGAGATTTGTAGGTGAAAAGGACACAGATTAAATCAACATTCTTTTATTTTGTGTGAGAGGACTACCGTAGACCTCAATGGTTTGTCATTCCAGCTGCTGCAGTTGTTATGGTCGCTGTTACGATTGAATAACTTGAAAAGCAACTCTGTCAAATTGAACCCAAACTAAATAACTTCTGCTCAAGGATTGATCTGCGGAACCCTTTATCAGATTCTCAAAACAAAATGCTCCACTGGTTGGCAGTGGTTTAGAAGTCTAAGGTTATGTATGGGTCCAAATGGACTTGAAGTAATAAAACTGTCTGCAGCACAATAGATCCCTTCCTTACCTTTTCCAAAACAGGCAGCCAGATCGTAACCAGATGCAGGTTCTTTAAACACAGCCATTCCCCATTTCTTGCACATTCCTTTAGTGTTTGAATAGCTATATCAGCTTGCCCTTGGCCCATAGCCACCTAGGGATAGTACACACACAAATAAGATCTTTGACTTTTGTTAATGTCTTTGAAATGATACATATTTAATAACCATAAGCTGATAGTTAAACATCTAATCATTAAGCTGTGACCACACATTGGATCAATACAATTGACAGTAAAAACAATATATGGAGACCATAACAAAACCAATATTTAGCTCTCTCCTTTTCAATCAAATATCTATACAAAGTGAACTACACTCAAACATTAATATTTTCAAATACTGAAGGCGCAATGTATTTCCACAAGTCTTTCCTAGGTTTTACAGAATTTGTTTTCCTTGGTGTTGCAAAACTCATTAACACTATTTGTTTCTCTACCTGTCCCCTCCACAATAGTGAGCAACCCGTTTAGTTATACAATACAGGCATACCAGATCGCCGGAAATAATTCAAGGCAAATCTAAAATATCTCAAGTAATAGCAGCAGAGATAATTCACTCTAAAAATGTAACCATGTCAACAAGTGACCATGTCAACATAATTTAGTTATGTAAGTAAGGCTATGTGTTTTTGCCCTTTTCTCTTTCCAGTTTTTATTAAGATTTGTGTGTGTGTGTTTAGGGCCAGGGGGGCGAACGATGTTACAACATAAATGCACCTCGGGGGCTTGTAAAAACATGTTTTAGTGTTGTTGATGCTTTGTCCTTGTAAATGTTTTGAGGAGTGGAAAATATTTTCACTTCTGGGACTCAATGTTAGCACGTTAAATGTCGAGTAAAGGTCCATTCTCTCTTTCTGAACAACATGCCAAGACCCGAGCTTCTGATCAGCTTCATCTCTGCATCAATGTGAATTCTCCCACAGGTATTCAATTAATTCCAAGTGAACCATTAATTTAGTGTCAATCAATTACTATAGAACTATAGATGGCTTTTCACTCTGGACTTGTGTACACTAGAGTGTAGATTAACACTTCAAACTTATTTTACTTGGGGATTTAATTAGCATTGTAGAGAGGAGACTTGGAACCCATCAATCTAAGATTGATGTAAACGAAGAACTCACTGCACCCAGTCGGCCTGAATATATTTATTCACAAGATCACTGTTTGACTGGGACAATTGTTTTTTTCTTTTCCAAAGAGTTATTGAATAAGTCATTTATTTATAATTCATTTTTATTATAATAAAAAAAAATGTCTGCTGTTTGATGTACCTCTTAGCTATATAACATATTAAATAGAGCAGACTTAAATAGACCATTCGGCCAACTAATCATTAGTGTTGGCGTTTATACTCCATATGAGCTTCAACCTATCACAATCCCCTTCCCCTATCTCTCTCCTATATCCCTCTATCGCCTTCTTCCTCACATATGCTAGCCTTTTTGTTTTCTTCCCTTTGTTCTCCATTATTTTATTGTAATGTGATTTAATTAAGAGAAAGAAAATTTATATACAAAAAAAACTGCACCACTTAAGACACTCAACAACCATACTTTACAATCAATATATGTTGCTCGAAATTATACATGTGTAAATCAGCTCAAAGTGGACACCCAGAAAGAAAATGGATAAATTAATGTAGAAGCTAATTTAATATATATAACAGCTGTTGTAGATGACCAACACGGTATACTGCTTAACATTGGTAATGAATTTACTGACCTTATGATAATTAACACATCAACTGGAGTGTTAATGGCCTTTGCGAATACCAGAGGTGGACTCTCAAGCTACACTTCACACTATAAGCACCTTAGGACATCCTCCCGACGTGAAAGGTGCTACACAAATGTAATTAATAATAATAATAATAATCCTTGCATTTGATATAGCGCTTTTCACGTCGGGAGGACGTCCCAAAGCGCTTCACAGAACACACTGTAAAGTGAATTGACTGTATTTTTTGTGGGCGAACGCGGCAGCCAATTGCGCACAGCAATGTCCCACAAACAGTCGTAGATTGAAAATGACCAATTTATTATTGGTTTTGGTTTTGGAGGGATTATTATTAGGCGTGTGGAGTAAGGAAACTTGCCCAAGGTTTCGCCCTCTGCCTGGAATTGAACTCAGGTCTCTCGCTTGCAAAGCGAGTGCTCTAACCACTGAGCTACAGGACTCCACAATTTGTTGTTATAAGTACATAAGTACGCTTTGAGACGTATCAATGATATTAAGGCTTTATATATTATTAATATATGAAAAATATTTTGTTTTTTTTTAGTTTAGCCTGTCACAAACACTTCTTTACACAAAGTTTTATGGGAATATGGACACATTGCCCTAGAGGATGTAGATGCAGAATAATTTGGATCTTTAAAAGTTGAATAGATTATTGGGAAGGATATTAAAGGATATGGAGCAAATGAGATTAAACAATCTGCCCTCTATTATATAATTCTATAAAGCCACACTACTAGTTTTCAATTTAATCCTTTGGTAGTTATGCGCTTCACAAAATAATGATCAAAACTTTTAAAGCATTTCTATGTCAGAACTTTCTAGAGAATCCTGAAAGTAATGTCTTTCAGAAAGAGTAAATGAGATGAAAGGTGTGGGAAAGTGAGTGGGAGAGGAGGGCGAGTATGAAAATTGTGATAAATGGGGGAGAGGAAAGGGAGATAGCGAGTCCTCCTACCTATTGCTTGTCCTGGATGGGCCATTTCCTACAAGTTTTCTAATAAAATAGTAAAACAGGCTTGATGGACTGAAAGACCTAACTCTGTTACTATAAATCTACTTCTCCTCCTCCAGCTGTGACTCTAGGTCCGCCAATGTTCTGTCGGCTTGTCTGGCAGACATTAGGGCCAAGATGAGCGCAAACGTCTTGCAACTAAATGTCGACAAGATGGAAACCATATACTCCTTGGCTCCCACCAACATCTTCTGTCCTGGGGCTCTTACCGCCTCAACCAACCCAGCTGATACTAGGCATCAGATTCCAATCCACACTGTCCTTCGTTCCCCAGATCCAGTCCCTGATTAGAACCACCTTCCTCCACCTACACAACATTGCCCGCCTCTGATTGTAGAGTCAGATGCAGCCGAAACACTCGTCCATGCATTCGTCACCTCCCACCTTGAATATTTAAATGCCCTCCTCTCCGGTCTCCCCAGCTTCATCATCCACAAAATACAGCTGATTCCAAACTCCACCGCCCACATACTCACCAGCACTAAACTCTGTAGCCCCATCACACCAGTTCTAGCCAGGCTCTACTGGCTCCCTATCACCAAATAGATCGATTTCATGATCCTCACATAAGTTTTCAAATGCCTTCATGCCCTGGCACCTCCCTACTTCTCTGACCTGCTTAATCACCAACTACTTCCCACTGCCTCCACTCGGCTGGATCCAGCCTCCTGCCTGTCCCTCGTGCCCTCTGTTCCACCATCGGTGACCGCGCTTTCAGTCACTATGCCCTGAAACTCTAGAACACTCTTTCTCTATTCCTCAGATTGCAAGTAGCATACAATATCCCCTTATGTCAACAATAACTAATGAGAATATTGGAAGACCGATGCCATACCTCATGATAGTTTTCCCTGCCAATTGTTTCACTAGCCAGCTCCTGAAGTTCCTGGGAAGGGTCAGCGCCAGGTGAAATAATAATGAGAACAGGCTCTGCAGCCAGTGTCTCACTTAGAAGGCGTTTCAAATTCAAAGGCGGTGGAGACAACTCCTTCATTCCTGAAAAAAGAACAGGCCTGCTTAATGATTCTGGTCATGAAGAATAACCAATCGCTTAAACTGAAACATGTACAATTTAAGCATGCTATATGTATGGTAACACGTTCCACATTGTAATGATGAAACAAGCTACATTGCTAAGAAAATATGATTCACAAAGATAAAATAGCGCCAAGGCTCATGCAACTTCAATTTATTACCATTTGGCCAGCTTCATTTCCCCCACCCAAACCACTCCATTACTGGTGGGCGAGCTTTCAACCATTCTGCTCCCACTCTCTAGAACTCCATTCTGGAGAGCCTCCGCCTCACCACCTCCGTCCCCACTTTTAAAGCCCCCCTTAAAAAAAATTACCCTTTCGACAGTTGACTTTTGTTACCAATAGTTACCAATTAATTTAAAATTCGCACCTTAAAAGAACAACTCCTTTGCAATTTTTGGCACAGACTTATTTTTCATCTCTCATATAAAATATTATAAAAACTTGCTGAGAATCCTAAATGCTGACATGCATCAACATCCTTGACCAAACATCTGACCCACGGATATGTCAGAAAAAAATAAGTATCGCGTTATTAAACACACCAATAGTTCCATCAACATCTAGTAATGTTATTTTAATAGACTGAGGCTATTAGCCAAAGTTGTCACAGCATGCCGAATATTTCTAGCTCTGTTAACCACAATAATACTTTCGTTTGCCTCACCTACAAATCATTTGGGAGAGACAGTATGAATAATACTGAAAGAATAGATATATTTTCATCCAATTTTCTCTCCATTGGTTAATGCCACAACAACAACATGCACTTATGTAGCGCCCTCAACGCAGGGTAGCGCATCAGAGCACTGAACAGTGGCTGAGCCTGACTCCGAGCCGGGGTTGAGGGGGGCGTGGGGTGGCCGTAAGCACGGTTGAAGAGGAAGGTTTTCAGGCAGGACTTGAAAAAGGGGAGAGAGGGGGTGAGGGGGAGGGATTGAGGGAGAGTGTTCCAGAGTTTTGGGTCGTAATGGCTGAAAGCAGAGTGTGTGAGGGATGAGCAGGAGGCGGTGCCACTCGAGCAGAGGCACCGAGTGGTGGATTGGGCAGTGAGGAGGTTGGAATGATAGTGAGGTAACAGAGAGTGAAAGAATTTCAACACAGTGTGAGGATCTTGAAGTCAATCCATTCAGTGATAGGGAGCCAGTGGAGTCTGGCCAGAACTGGAGAGATGTGGGAAAGGAGTTTGGTCATCTCCAAATAAAACAAACACCGCCAAATGAAACAAAAAACAGACCAAAAGGATGAATTTGCAGAGTAAAGTTAAACTGTATTTTAATGAACAATGAACAGCAGAAAATGCAGTTGACCAATTGTTAAAATGGTAAAAGTCCAGAAATTGTTCTAAAGAAATCAATATCTACACTTCATTATGCATACACAAACAGCACAGATAACAGGTCATTACGCAAACTCCAATATACTATATTAACCCAAACCTTTCATCAGAAAGTAAAGTCCTGTGGAGTCCTGTAGCTCAGTGGTTAGAGCACTCGCTTTGCAAGCGAGAGACCTGAGTTCGATTCCAGGTCAGGGCGAAACCTTGGGCAAGTTTCCTTACTCCACACGCCTGATAATAATCCCTCCAAAACCAAAAACAATAATAAAAAGGTCATTTTCAATCCATGACTGTTTGTGGGACATTGCTGTGCGCAATTGGCTACCGCGCTCGCCCACAAATATATAGTCAATTCACTTTACAGTGTGTTCTGTGAAGCGCTTTGGGACGTCCTCCCGAGGTGAAAAGCGCGATATCAAATGCAAGGATTATTATTATTATTATTATAATTTTCAATAGCTCTATTAAATCTCCCCTTAACCTTCTCTGCTCTTAGGAGAACAAGCCCAATCCCTGCCTCGGCTCGACTGGCTCCAGCTTTCTGCATATCCCCTGGGCCATCCGATCTACCGTTGGCGGTCGCGCTTTGAGCCACTACACCCCAAAACCCTGGAACACGCTTCCTCTATCCCTCCGCCTTGCCCCTTCCTTCGCTATTTTCAGGTCGCGCCTGACAACTTTCTTATTCGACCATGCTTATGGTCACCTCCCTCTCCCCCTGGCTTGGTGCCGTGCTATGCTCCTGTCAAGCGCTCTGAGACGCTACCCTGCATGAGGGGCGCTATACATAAATGCAAGTTATTCTTGTTCTTGATTCTTTTACTGCAAACTTCCAATGGTCTTGAAAAAGGAAGTGCTTCCAAACTTGCGCCATCATACATGCTTTCATTGCATCTAGGCTCCACTATGCCAACTCCCTGCTTGTTAGCCTTCCCAATTCTTCCCTCTTATCTCTCCTACCATTCCTACCTTATCAACCTGTCCGCTCCATCCCCTCAGCAGTCTCCGGCCTGCTCCATGTTCCCCACCCACTCGCCCCACTATCAGCCTCTCTGCCCCCATCCTCTGGAACGTCATCCCACATTCCGTTTGCCTCGCTTCCTCCCTTGCCTCCTGCAAGGTATGCCTCAAGACGCTCCTCTTCAACCATGCCTTTGGCCACCCTCCTACCCTCTCTGCCCTCCAACCTCTCAGATCCCAACACACCCACCCCTGGCTCAGGTTCAACACCTTGGGACGTCCTCCCGACGTGAAAGGCATTTTACAAATGTCACTTTGTATTGTATTTACAATACACTATGTACCCATGTTGAAAAAAATGCAACAGTCGAGATCCAATATGTATGAAGAAACATATACCAGTACTAATTAAAAATAATTCAGCAAGAAAGTTAACAGATAAATCTTTCATATTGCTTTTCATACATATTTTTGGGAACAGGTAACCTTTACAAATATTATACATTTACCATTAAGACTAAACTTCCTTGATTTGCATATTTTTTCACCCACCAGTGCAAATGACATGAAAACACACGACCCCCTAAATGAACAATTTTTTTGTGAAGGCAGCTTACTCGGTATAATAACTACACAGCTTGTACAATAATTCAAAAAGATGAAACATTTCCAAAGCTAATGGAAAATGGAGTTGCCTTGAGCAATTTGCCATGTAACTTTAGATTCTACTCATGAAGTGATGGTTTTGCTTATTCTAGCAGAGGCTGTTTTTCTTCAGCTGTGAAACAAAAATTCGGTCTTCATTAACAAGACTTACAAGGTTGTCACGAAAACGTACTTACTGCACAGCAAGAAGAATGATTACCATTCCCCTATGCCCCTTTACCGCTGTGTAATAATTAAAGCAGGTTAAAGGTACAATATGGATTATCTCATTCCACAAACAAAGAATGTATCTGACAGTAATTTCAATGCTGAAGCTGATACCTTTCAGTGTTTCATAAAATTCCAATCATGAGTTCAACTCAATTTCATCAGAAAAACACATATCTTAGCTCTGATATTGCTAAGACCAAGATAATAGATGGAAACCTGATAAAAATGTAATAAGAAACATAGATCCAAAATGTTATTTGCTGGATCTCAAATCAATCTAAAATGGTGAGATTTATTTGCCTGAAGTGCAATGACTGGTAATAATAATAATACTTGCATTTGATATAATGCCCTATCATGCCGTTGAGACATCTCAAAGCGCTTCACAGGATTTACTGTAAAATGTAGTGACTATGTGTATTTTCAGACAAACAAGGCCGCCAATTTGTGAACAGCAATGTCCCACAAATTGAAATGAAATGACCAAGACTGCTTTTCTTTACCTTAGCCACATCACCAGCTTCTGCTTCTATCCCATGCCAAATGCTGCCAAAATCCTTGTCCACACTTTGGTTACTGTATGCCTTTTTTTTTAAACCGTTAATCTTCCAAGCTCCAACAACCATACACTTCAATTTGTCAACAACTTGCTGCCCTTATCTTCACAAGTGCCAAAGTCCACATGTCAGCATCCAAGGCTGCACTCTCCACCTCTCAAAGCCGTCAGGAACCTCGGCGTCTTGTTCGACCCTGAGCTGTCCTTTCTCCCTCACATCCGCACCACAACTGGCACCGCCTTCCATCACCTCCGGAACATCGCCAGACTACGGCACTACCTCACCCCTCACGCGGCTGAAACCCTGGTTCACGCCTTTGTCACCTCAAGGCTGGACTATGGGAACTCTCTCCTCGCCGGCCTTCCCGGCACCTCCCTGCACAAGCTGCAGGTCATTCAGAACTCTGCAGCTCGTGTACTGTCCCGCACCAGGCTTCGGGACCACATCACTCCCACCCTCGCTCGCCTCCACTGGCTCCCCATCCCCCAGAGGATCGAATTCAAGATCCTCATCCTCACCTACAAGGCCATTCACGGCCTCGCTCCCTCCTACCTCTCTGACCTACTATCCCCCTACCTACCTGCCCGTACCCTCCGTTCCTCTGGCTCCAGTCTGCTCCACGTCCCCCGCCCCAACCGCCCTACCATCGGTGGTCGGGCCTTCAGCCTCTCAGCCCCCAGGCTCTGGAACTCTATCCCCCAGTGCCTTCGCCTTGCTTCCTTCCTCTCCTCCTTCAAGACCGGTCTCAAAACCTTTCTCTTTGACCGAGCCTTCAGCTCCCCTCTCGACTCTCTTCCCCCTCCTCTCTCCCTCCCTTCCCTCCCCTCACCCTGACCATTTCCCCCTTGCTCGGGTCATGACCCAACTGTGCAGCGCCTTGGGACGTCCTCCTGACGTGAAAGGCGCTTTATAAATGGAATCTTGTTGTTGTTGTTGTTGTCCTTCACAGCCTAGACTTCACCCGGCTTCTCTGACTTCCAACTGATCGATTTGAACTTCCACATTCTCACATATAAATCCCCTTCACCATGTCTATCATCACCTTCGCCTTCCCCTCTCTCTCTCTCTCTCTCTCCTTCTCAATATCTGATCCTATCACTGTAAATCACTCTGATGGATGCTATATAAATGCTAGTTGTTGTTGAAATGAATGACCAATTTTATCTGGGACAATGCGCACATAATTGAGTTGGAAAAGCTACTCAGGAAAGCGGTAGGTATACTAGA